TAGTATCCGTGTTACTTAGCAATACTACATCGTTTATTAAGTCTGTTTGTTTTCTATCTTGCTCTTATTTGGTTCCTCTAACCTCTAGGCTCCAGTAATGATCTAACTATGCTTTCTAGTATAAGTAAATTCTTATTATTTTACTGTAATGCCTCTTTTTGCGAGAAATAAAAGGTTTTTTTTTTGTTTATTTGTTTAAGCCATTTCCTGTAGTCAATCAGCTCTTTAGTCCGGCGGATAGACAGACAGATAGTCGTTTTTCAGTCTGTCAATAAGGTTCTTGTCAACGAGTTGCTTATTTAGTGGTGCAGTTACTTAAGTAGTCAGTCACTCCATTTGTACCCTTTGCTGCCGACAATGCACAATGGTTTCTCCATAAGCTGTAATAACTATATAAAGTAAGTTAGCGAGCGGCTAGTCAGTCCACTTGTGAGCTACATGAATGTTAATATTACTATTTTGCTTTCTTTTGTATTGTGCAATACTGTACTTCAATCAATCAATGAATGGTCGACTGACCTATAAATCAATCACTCAATCGGTCAGGATCTCAATCAGCCAATCTGTTTACTTTTCTCTTGTCCTCAGATGTAAACGTTGTCCAATGGTTGAAGGTCGTTCGATTAACCCCAAGAGTACCAAAAAATATGAATGTGATTTTTGCGACAAAATGTTTCCAGGACCATCTGACTTGAGATCGCACATGCGCACCCACACTGGAGAGAAACCTTATCAGTGCACTGTTTGTGATAAGGGTTTCAGCCAGCCAGGGAACCTAACCAAACACGTAAGGTAGGTTATGAGGAAGTTATAAGTTATGCATGCTATGTGCTATTGATTTCCTCAATTTTTTCCAAGGTTTGATTTTAGGAACGCACTTTGGAGTTAACAGGGGCCTTTAATGTTTCATTATGTCCTGATTATTAGGTTTGTTCACAACAAAGAACAGCGACCTAAAGAGAAAACTCGCGAAAAGAAGTATTTTTGCAGCCTGTGCGGTAAAGCGTTTCTCTGTCCGAGTAGTCTTGCTATGCACTGTCGGACACACACTGGAGACAAACCTTTTTCGTGTGAACAATGTGGGCAAGGATTCGCCCAAGCGGGAAACCTCAAAAAGCACCTCAAACGCTGGCATGAAGATGGCGCCGAAGGCAGGACAAGGTTTGTCAATTGCTTCGTTTATTGTCACTGTTGCGATTTAGCTGACCGATACCCATGGATAGTGCGGGTTTACGCATCGATTGAAATTTGCTTTATCCATAATAATTCGTCGTAGTTCAATCGAGTCGACTGAGTTTTTCCAGTCGTTTTCATCTGTGTTCTTTACCAATTGGAATCAACTACTTTGACTTAAAAACAAGGTTTGCTTTTCCAAAGTCCTGTTTCCCATCCGGGAAGACTGGTAGCTAACCATTTGAAATGTTGTTTTCTATTAATCCTCTGACCCCCAAGAGTGACTAACATATAACAAATAATAAATAATAATAAATAATTTAGCAATGGACATTCCACTGGGTGGCTCCTCTTTGTCCACCGTTTCCAGATCGAATTGGAATTTGGAATGTTGGTTTTTGCGGAGAGAGGAAAACTGGAAGATCCGGAGGAAAACCCTCGGAGCAAGGACGAGAACCAACAACAGCGGTGGGAGGCGAGTGCTCTCACCACTGCGCCATCCCTGCTCCCTTCTTATTTCTCCTGACATTATCACCCTCGAATCTCATTTAAGTCATGATCACCAACCAAAGAAGAGCTCTTGGTTGTTAAATAAATTCACCTTGTCAGCTCCTCGGGAAATGTATAAAGAACAGTATGAAGAATATGCATGCTGATTAAGGGTGAAACGGGTTAAAACAATGGATCAATATCTGTTTCGGAAAAACTCCGCCCCTACCCCTCCCATAACCTGATATTGATCTTGACTTGTTTTCAGGTGACTATCGTTGAGTTAGGGGAGGGGCGGGTGCGCAGATGTTCAGACACAGCCATTGATCCAAAACATTTCGGAGGTGGCTTCAACGGTTCTCTTTAGCACTGAGGGACTGAAGGATGAATTTTTTGGACTGACCGAGTGATTGTGAGGTAAATGTCTATTGTGTTTTCTCTTAGACGGAGAAAGGGAAAGGGAAAGAACGCACCAGCTGAATCAGGAGAGACAGGCGATGCGAACCAACAAAGTCAGCAACAAGAAGGCGAGTCCTGCCAAACGGTCTCTGACGAGACACCCAGTGACGGTGAACATGACGAGATTACTAACAGCACGCGTGGGGGAGATAGGCCAGTCGAGTTGAACAATGCAAGCTCGCAGACAACTTTAGCTACGTGCACCCCGCTCAACACTCCGAGTTCTTTGTACAGTGCAACGCCCTTGAACAGTCTGAACGCAGCAGTCGGTAGCTCTCCCACACCAATGATGCAAGTGGTGTTAGGTTTTCTACGCAGCCCGCCGCAACAACCCGTCGGCGCACCTAACCCCCATGCAAATGCGAATCCCTCTACGATGACTCACACTGAAAGGGTTCTCGGGACATCATTCTACGGGGCTAGTGAACGGGAAAACGCCTTGCGCCGAGATGTTAGCACTTCTTCACCAAGTTTCTTGAATTCCCAGCCAATGACCTCTCAAGGAAGCCATCTGAGTGTCATATCCGCACAACAGCATCAACAAGTTGTTCTGCCAAGAATGTTGGCTCCCACATCCTCAGAAAGTACAGACATCCCATTCATGCCCCCAGTGGTGGCGACCCCTCCCTCTAACCCCAACCCCCCACCCCGGGCATCGATCCTTCTTCCGCACGTTCACTCCCTCCTTAATCCCCCAGGGATGAATAACACAGGGGGAGAGGTAACTGTTTGGCCGTTTGCACCAAACAACATGTTTCAGCCACAGTAGGCTGTAATTTGGTATAATAATCTGCTAATTTTTCGCCTCCCGTTCATGTCACGTAAGGGGTTACTTGAGTAACGCAAGCCCTTGTCATGTTATAAAGTTCGGCAAAATTATGGTTTTAGAAAGGCTAACCGAAGTTTAAACCATATCTTTTCCTATCTCGGTGAAAACGTAATGGTCAAAAGTTGGTTTTATTTTCTTGCGCTAACCCTTATTAGATATATGAGATTTGTTCGACAGCTGTCTGCAAACTGAACAAGGGGGAAATTGTCCTGACTGGGTTATCCTCTTTAGTATTTCATTACTCTCTTTGCTTTAGGAAAGACTTTGGGAACAGATCATTACGTATTTATAAATAATGGTTTGTCCCTTAGCAAGCAAATGAACGCTATGTGAAAACTTGCGTTTGTAAAGTAGGAGTTAGCGTTTTTTGTTAAACCGCAAAGCCGCGATCGATGGCATACAGTTTATCAGTACCAATGGTTTTACGTCTCAAACAAAGATCAGCTGGGTTAACACGAGCTTGTTTAAGCCCACGCCTCACACAAACCGTAGCTAACTTACGTCACTGCTTGTTCAAGTAGAATGTGTCGTAGAGCTTGGTTTTGGGAGGTGCAGAGTATTTGCCTCGAAAGAACTTCCCTCCATCGTTTGTGTGCCAATTTCTCATATCATGGCGGATGTCTGTACCATGATTTATACTCTCGATTACGGATCGGCATATAAGGGCCAGATAGTAGTCTGTGTTCGTAAAGGGGTCCATTCCCCCCTTTATTTGAAAATGGTCACCATCAATTTACTGAAGGGAAACATTAGGGAAGGTAGAGCACATCGAGTAGCTTAGTAGGGAACTGGTTCTACTCCCTTAGACTTGAACTTCTTGGCTGAGTTGCCCTTAACCCTTGCACTCCCAGGATCTCAGTAGTAATTCTCTTTACTGTCTACCACACAATTGGAGAATTTGGTATTGGATCAACTAATAATCTCTAATTGGTATTTTTCTTTATTCTCGTCACTTGTCTGCCTGATTTTGTGTTGATATTGTAAGGAGAAATTCTCTCTCGATCACTAATTGGAGTTAAAGGGTCAGTGCGGACAGGTTTTTATAGTTGGAGAATTATATGATTTTAGGTTTTAATGAAAAATATTAGTTAGGTTCTTGTAACTTTATATTCCTTTTGGAAACACAGGTTACGCCCCTTGTTGAGAACAGAAAAAAGGTTAAGTGAAGGGTAGCGAGGGATTGTTTTGGTTAGGTTTCTGTTTACTGTAAGATAGACTATCTTTTAATCGAAGAAACGATTCTTAAAATATAGATAAGTATAAAACATATTCGTAAAGAGACTGTTGTTTCACCTTGGCGGGAAATCAAAACACTTTGATCACAAGCAAGGTGAAGTTAATAGAAAACTCACCGCCCAAAGGAATTTGAAAAGTTCACTTGGCTTGTGTGAGAACTTCACTTGGGCAACATGCAACGATAAAATGTTATTACAAAATCAAGAAAAATTTGAGGAGCTACAGATCGACCAAACGTACCAGAAAATTGATTGCTCACGACTTGAATTCTTACTATTTGCTAATGCCTAAAGCAAAAGTGTTTCATTTAAATTCATGTCGCAAAGGAAATCATGGGGCTAAACTGAAAAATCCCCCACCGTCCCTCCCTAACAGTAACGCCACCCCACTTTCCTCCGAGACCGTCGCCGCACACTCTTCACTTCTTTCAGTCACGCGACGTGTTGACACAACTTTTAAGTTGTGTCAACTTTAAAATTTTAAATGTTGTGTCAATTTTTAAATTTAACTTATAAATTTAAAAATTCGCGAAAACTGACCAATAAGAACAATTTTTACGTCCTTACAATATCCTTAAATTGCAGCAAATCTTGGTTTTATGTCTTATTCAAAGCGTTTTTGTTGAGCCACATCGATAACACCGACACAAGATCCGTGTGTCGAAAGAATTGTTCTCGAATCTTCGATCGAGCGGGCGTGACGCAACTCAAATGGAATGAAAATGGCGGCGATAACTCTGGATCCATTTCGGATTCTTTTGAACAACATCAGCAACGAACTGGAGGATAAAGATCTTCAGAGCTTGAAAAATATTTGTGCACAGTGGATTCCAAGTGGTCAGCGTGAGCAAATCAAAAATGGTTGGGACTTACTAAACCATCTCCGGAGACAGAATATAATCGGAGACAAACCCGAGATGGTGACAAACTTGCTGTTGATTATCAAAGTGCTGAAACGAAGGGATTTGATTCATCTGGTTAAAAAGCACATCGCAAAGTACTACGAACAAGCAGAGGAGATATTCAGTTCAGTTAGGGCATCTGAATCCCTTCATTCTTCTCTAACCCTCAGAAATAACAAGTTAGCCTTGAACATAGATGCTAATGATGACAGGTTCTCTTCGGCATGTTGGGCGCTGAATTGCTGTTGCTGCGAGCTCACCTGTTACAGCAGCTGTCTTATATTTGTGACGATCCTTTTTACCTTCTTCGCCGTTGCAGCCATACTAGCGTGGTACGCTAGCATTCCAGAAGTCACCTCATATTTGAAATCCAACGAAGACAGGAAACTCGCCGGACCGTATATTATTGGGTTCTTACTCTTCATTGCGGTCTCCAGCGCCCTGTGGACAATTTGTCGCTTTTATTTAAAGCGGAGACGATATATTTATCTTAATAGTGATCATGAAGACAACGAAAGAATTAATAGTGAAGCCATCCAGCAAGGCACTGGCAATAACTCTACAGTACAGTCGAACCCTGCCACCATAGAGTTTGTAGGAACAGGATCGCGCTGTTCCAGTCACGTTGCCTCTTCCTGTACCGGTTCGTTTTCTTCTCTTGATACAGCCGCAAGTAACGCGTAGTCGTATGTAAAAACTCAGTAAGCAGTTCGTAATCCGAGTGGCGTCTGAGCTGGAAAATGTTTTGTCATTTTTCCGCGAAATTGTAGTAGATTTTATTCCTACTTTGCTAATCTTTTAGTCACGGTTATTTTTTTTCCTAGATCTCACACCCTATTTGTAGAATAGGGTGTCAGTGTGGAGTTCTCCCTTGTAATTCTCTGCTTATAGTGTACATAAACATTAGAATTGAATTGAATTCAATTGAATTGAATCTTTATTCAGGTATAAGATAAATAATCACATATCCTATGTTACAACATTAAAAGAAACTATGTATATATATTACAGAGAAAGTCAAGATAAATATTATAAGACTAGATTATATTTAAAAATTAAGCGGTTGACAAACGTGTTTTTGAACCTATCAGTGTTTATTTTAGGATGGTGACTTGTCTCTTTGCTCAGATTGTACTTCTTTGATTTCTTTTTTGGCATTATAGCTCTTAAAGGGTGTGNCCATCTTCCGCCATAGTTCACAAAAACATATTATGGCCTGTAATGGAATAGTTATCACGTTACATCCGCCGTGGCATTTCACTTTCGACCTGCCTTCTCACTTCCGCCGTGAAGAATTGGCGTTGTCTTGCCGTGAGTTGGCGTTGTCTTGCCGTGAATTGTGGGAGTTTTGCCGTGACACTTATGGACCACCGTATGAAACTCTTGCATAGTCATACGGTACAACTTTAATTCGCGGAAACTGTCCGATCGATACTTACAATTTTCACGTCCTTACAATAGCCTTAGATTACAACAAATCTTGGTTTTATGTCTGAATCGAAGCGTTTTTGTTGAGCCAACATCAATAACACCGGCAACAATCCGTACGTCGAAAGAATTGTTCTCGAATCTTCGATTGAGCAGGCGTGACGCAACTCAAGAGGAATACAAAATGGCGGCGATAAGTCTAGATCCATTTCGGATTCTTTTAAACAACATCAGCAATGAACTGGAGGAAAAAGATCTTCAGAGCTTGAAAAATATTTGTGCACAGTGGATTCCAAGTGGTCAACGTGAGCAAATCAAAAATGGTTGGGACTTACTAAACGATCTCCGGAGACAGAATATAATCGGAGACAAACCCGAGACGGTGAGAAACTTGCTATTGATTATCAAGGTGCTGCAACGACGAGATTTGATTGATCTGGTTAAAAAGCACATCACAAAGTACTACGAGCAAGCGGAGGAAATATTCAATGCCGTTAGGGCATCTGGTTCTCCATTTTCCTCTCTAACCTCAAGAAATGACCAAATAGCCTTGGACCTTCAGTCCAGCGGAGAAAGCAAGCCATTCCAAATTTCAGTATCAAGCTCACGATACACCTCTCAGAGTCGCGACGATCGTTGTTGTTGCGGGTGCTCTTGTAACTGTGATGCATGTTGTAATGCTTGTTGTAGTACATGTTGCATAAGTTGCAGTATCGTTTTGGTTTTTCTTTTCTCTATCTTGGCCATTGTGGCTAGTTTAGCTTGGTATTCAAACATCCCAAAACTTACGAAGTATTTGAAGTCAGACGACGATATACAACATGCAGGTCCTTGTGTAATTGGTATTTTAATATTCCTCGCGGTAAGCAGTTTTGTGTGTGCAATTTGCGTGAAGTACTGTGGGCGAAGAAATGCTGGACAGTACGAAGTGCTAGAAGACATTCCAAGAACATTAAACATTCAAGAAAGCTCTACCTAGTCAGAATCCAGACGCACAAGGAGGTTCGGCGACCCAATACGAGAAGCAGCGGCTGGGCGGATTTATCTTCCAAGGTCCTGTAGTTCTCTTTGGGCAAAACACAGCTTCCAATTCTACTGCTCCTAGATGTTCAAGAGTCTCTTCTCGTACTCCTCGCATGGATGCAGAACAAGATGACAAAATAGAGGGAGTGTGAGTTATTGCTTTCAAGTGTTTGTGTACCTAAGCTATACAAAGATAAACTGAAGAGATTCAAAAATACATTTTATCACTTGAACGCTATTTTGACAGGTAATGTTAGTTAGAATGTTACTAAGAGTAAAGATCCATGGAAGGGATTCTAGTTGAACAAGTGTAATTTCATGAGGGCGAGTAAAGAAGAAAATCTCTCGATCCATTTTTAGGATTTTCTGAGAAAACACCAAAATTAGTTAAAAACAATAGTAGGTTGGATATAACTATCGAAAGTCATTCCTCTTTTTCCAAGATAGATTTCAACTTTATCAACCAAGCCTTGGTTGGATCCCATGTATTTGCTATTCAGTTTTATGTACAAACTAAGACAAGACTGTATATTTTTCTGTGATTTGATCGTGATTTATCAAATGTAAACAATATCGATCGACAGTGTGGAAGGAGTGAATTTTTTCTTCGAAATTTTGGGAATATTAGCTCTGTCCTGGTTCATTACGGTAAATGCAATCATGATGTTTTCCCTGACTCAGTGAAAACTCAACTGTTCAGCATAACATAGCATTCTAAACGAGGATTTTTTTGTTTAGATAAAAACCCAAAAATCTTGTTTGTATATATTATTATATTGTGTTGGTACAAATTTATAAAATGTCCCAAATTCAGGGTCCCTTACTTGGCAGAAAAAAACGGGGGGAAATGGAATAAAGATCTCATATGGCCCACTTTGCTTTCCTAGAATTTCGCCCCACTGATGTAATTAAACTGCTTTCATAAAATCTGGGAGAAATTTAAGGCACAAAGACCGGAAATCATCGAGCACAAATAATCGTCACCGTACATCTCTAAAGCAAATACGGATTACTTTTATGATCATATTCAGTATTAACTAAAATTTTACCTTGTCTGAGAAACAATCCAGAGTAATTAAATAAAAAACAGACAACGTATTTGTGATGGTTTCCTTAGATCGGTGAAAGCGTCTAAACGCATTTTTTTTATTATTATTATTAAATTAAAAAATGCAATCTCCTGCCTGTTTGTTAATATTAACTTGTTTGAGAAACAATATAGAATAATTTAACAAATAACAGATAACGTGTCACATGACGATTGAAATTGAAGAGCTCAGAAGTGACTTCCGTCCATCCCAAGAATTCGGGGATTTCCCAGGTATCGATTTCTGTTGAAACACTCCACGGTAGGGTACTGACGGGAAGTTCGTATACATATGAAAGTTTAGCTCGTTGGATAAAGTAGAAAAATTGGGGAAAAAAGAAGGTAGTCGAATACTTCTCTACAGATGATAATTATTTTCCTTAACTGAAAATTTCCATTTAAAAGGAACCAGTGACGCGGAAAAGGTTTTCCTGCTCAGGGTACTGCTAGCTAGGCTAAGACGAGTGTCAATGTTTGTTCAAATCACGGGTTGATCACCTCTACACAAGTAAGGACCTGGGGCAATAATAAACCGGTTAAAACAGAGTCCTTTCGTTTTCAAGATCAAGCGATTGCAAAGATGGCGACTGGCTCTGCTCTCGAACCTTTTCAGAAGCTTTTAAATAATCTTAACCACGAGCTAAACGAAAGAAACCTGGAGAGTCTAATACACATTTGTGGAAAATATATTCCAGGATGTCAACGAGAACGAATCTTTAGTGGATGGGATGTGTTTAACATTCTGCGCCATCAGAACGTCATCGGCAACGGGCGAGAACAGATTCACAACTTGCTCGAGATCATCAAGGAATTGAGGCCAAAAAGGAGAGATTTAGTCTCCATGGTCAAACAGTATATTCAAGATTGTTATGAGAATCCAGAAACGATACTGGAAGACCTTCAGTCCAGCTGGGATTGCAAGCAAATACAGCTTCCTTTAACAAGCTCACGATCCTCACCACCGATTCACGATGACGATTGTTGTCTTATCCGATGTTGCGGGTGCTCTTGTAAATGTGATTATGGCAATTCATGCTGTAATGCATGTTGCAATATCTGTTGTAATGCATGTTGCATGTGGTGCGGTGCCATTTTGGGAGGTCTTTTCTTTCTCTTGGCCATTGTGGCTGTTTTGGCGTGGTATTCCAGCATCCCAAGACTTACGAAGCTTTTGATGTCAGACAATGAGATACAACATGCAGGTCCCCTTGCGGTTGGCAGTTTAGCATTCCTCGCGGTAATCAGCATTGCGTGTGCGATTTGCGTGAAGTTCCGTTTGCGAAGAAATGCCGGACAGTACAAAACAATTCCAGACCTACCAATAGCATTCGGTTTTCAAGCAAGCTTGACCACATCAGGGTCGAGAAGCACAAGTAGGTCCGGTGATTCATACCGACCAGCAGCGCCGAGGCGGATTTACCGTCAAAGGTCCAGTGGTTCTTGGCAGTGCGCAGCTTCCAATTCAATAGCTTCTGGAGGTTCGAGAGTCTCTTCCCGTACTCCGCGGCGATTTGACGAAACCGATGCAGCTGTTCCAGATGGCTTTCAAACGGACTCGTTTTGGTCTACGGGCATGGATGCAGAAGGAGATGGCGACATAGAAGAAGTGTGATTAAAATTACTGCTTTGAACTCCTTACTTGCTTGTGTCAAGAGAGTAGAGATTCAAAGATACATTTTATCATGTGAACGCTTGTTTGACAGTTACCAATTTCCTAGAATGTAACTAGTTTGATGATTCATGGAAGGGATTCTAGTTGATCAACTGTAATTTCATTTAGGGCGAGCAGAGCTGAAATTCTCAGGCCCTGGATGATCCAGTTGTAGGAATTACTGAGATAAATCGGTATTCAAAACAACAATAGATGATACATAACTATTGAAAATCTTTTCTCTGCTATAAAATAGATTTCATTTTAAACGACCAAGCCTTGGTTGGAAATCGACGTCGTTACCTAAGCCTTTAACTAGTTTTTAAAATTGTCTAATACATAAATTAATAAGCGATCAGAACTACATAAAAAATCTTAAAGGGATACTAACTTATTCGATTGAGGAAGAACCATGTCATCAGAAATGGGACAGTCTACGTTCAAATATGCTGCTAAGAAAGACAGGAACGATATCCCAAAAGGATTAAGAGAACTCAGCTCCTTCTTTAGTTTTAACTGAATAAGATTTTTAGGTATTTTTTAGATTTAGACATGAAGGAGTATAATTGTACTTCTCATTCATATGTACATATCTTTTTTATAGATACATATTTTTATCCATATAGATACGATTTTTCTGTTATCTTATTATTTAGATGTAGATAAGTTTTTCAGGTACACATTTTATAACTATATTGGTGATCACCAGTTTACACCAGCTGTTCACTCTGGGTTCAGCTAATTGGTCCATCAGGATAAATATAGATTTTTATTTATTTTGGATCTCATTTATTTGCTACACAGTTTTATCGACAAACTAAGACAAGATTCTATATTTTCTTTGATATGATGTATCAAGTGTTAACAACATTGATCGACAGCGTGGAAGGAATGTTTTTGCTTAGAAATGTTTAGAATTTTTTCAGTTCTGTCTCGGTAAAGTAAACGTAATTGTATAATTAACAATTATTCCACTCGCGCTTGTTGGATATGAGATGATTATAGCCAACTCGGTGCTACGCGCCTCGTTGGCTATCTATCATCTCATATCCAACGCGCGCTCGT